CTTGGGAGATGACTGTTGAAAAATGCGAGGCAAATTCATCTTAAGAACCAAGTATCAAACACCTGCCTCGACAAAAAATTAATCACTTGCATCTTTCTTCCTTCATTTTCTGATTGCTCTTAATTATGGTTTGATTTCAGAAACTGATTAGCATTATTTACATGTTTGTTCTACGAGATTTGATTCAAAGAATAACTTGCTTTCATTCAAGAATCGAAAGAGATGAATCCATATTCATGCATTTGGGGTTCGGTAACTATTATTATTTTGCTTCTCAAATTCTATTTCGGTAAGTCGAAATTACATTTCAATTTCATTCAAATAAACGGTATGCTTTTGTGAATATAATATGTATATAATCGGTGTATTCCCCAACAATCTTAAGATGGATTTTGTGTTCGTTGTGCATTGTATATTCTATTTCGAATTTGCCAATCATACTACTCACTTAAGGGAACAAATTAGGTTCTATTCAAAAATTGTAATTTGAAATTATGCTATATTTGTATTATAAAACGGAAATAAAATTCGAACCGGTGCATGCATGGGAACCCAATATTATGTGAAAATATGAATGGAGACGTTTGAAGATAACTGTAATTATAGAGTTTCCTTCATCTTTGCATATGCATTTTTCTTTTAAGTATGTGCAGATTTCTGCATGCATCTAGTAATATATTTCATGAAAATATTTGAAAAGACGGGTGGCATGTGTGACTATAATTAAATGCATATGTTGCTATAATTTGAACCGATGGATATACGCTTGACATTCTGCCATACTTTGAACATTAGAGTTTGTGAAGTTTTTCTGCTAGCCTCGAAAAATATGATGTTTCTGTACGATGTCCTTGTGAATGACCAATTTCTTCTATGTGAGATTGCAATATTTCTTATGATATTGAAGTGAGCATTCCTATAAATGGAATAAATTTATACAATGGATGTATAAATATTTGAAATATAAGTTGTTATTCCTTCACATTGGTCATGATGAATTGGATATTGTTAAAACCAACTCGAGTCCAATAATGAATGAATGGAAATAAGGAAATTATTCCTAATCATTGGACATATAAGGATGTCAATTATTTGATGAAAGTATATGAACTTTCATGATAATTCCTTTAATTGGAATATAATAATGGCATGGTAAATTTGTTGGTTAAAATTTCATATTTTATTGAAATTATACTAACTTTGACTATGATGATAGCTTCAATTAATTTGATAAAATTAAGTGAGATGATTTAAGTGGATATCATTATTTAGTAATGAGAATTAAACCACTTAATTATTTGAATTTGTAGAAAACTGTGTAGAATAGTATGAAATATTCTATGATCAATTTAAATGAAAAGGTACATCCTTTCATATGAAAAATCATGACTTTTGATATTATTATTTTTCAATAGGTGTGTCTCTTCATAGAGAGTAATCCAAGAGATGTGTCCTTTTATATGATTGTGTCTTTTGAGAACACAATTTTTCAACCGATGGTTGAAATGAAACTATCATATGAAATGTCACAAATGTGATAAGTTGCATATGTTTGAAGAAGTTGCAATGTTTAGCCCTCTTTATTGTTGAATTTGACTTAAATTATGAAACCAATTAAGTTGGTATATATTTTGAAAGCATTGTTGGTTCATGTGATGACCTTGATTTAATTTGGATGATCAAAATTAATTAGATTAAAGTACGTTATATGCAAGTTGACGACCACTACTTTGAAAGTACATAGACTTCCACAAAGCACTCGATACGGATATTATGAATTGAACTATGAAAGAGTTGATGAACTCTAAGTTCAAATATAACCCAAAAATGTGGGGGGTTAAACTTAATGCTTGTGAATTTGAAATGGAAAATTCAAAACTTGTGGATGTAACATTACTAGATTGCATATGTATTCCTAATTGAGGAATTGTGGGGGAAACTGAGTTTAACAGTTACCTATGCTTCTATCTTATAATCACGGAATGATATCTATAAAGGTGGAAAGATAGAAAACCCTTATACTAATTATAAGGATTATATATACTAAGTTTAAAGTAGATGAAATGAGTTGTAAAGCCGATTATGGCGTTTGTTTAGACGTGCAAGAACAATTGGAATATTTTAAGAATATTCATAAAGTTCAAATGTATGGTAATGTTTCAATAATGATATTGAATACCCATGATTCTGAAATCCACTAGTAAAAGTGATTGACTAGTGCAGTGTTTGATAGAATCCTCCAACCGTGTTTGGAAATTGAAAAAGCTTTAAATAAAACTAATGAGGCCTATAGTTTCATGAGAGGATTTCTTGGTGGCGACAATTTGTATCTATCAAATGAATCGATCATTGACTAGCAATATTTGATAAGATATTAAGTCACATGTAATGATAGGTCTAAACGTATAAGTCATAGACATAATACCAATAAGAAGATGATCTCAGTAGTGTAAACTCGTGGTACCTGTAAGAGATTTACCAAGAGATTAAGTATGCTGCATATCGAAAGGAATGAGATTGAAGCCTACTACGTTAGAATTCTTGTAATGGTAACCCTACCTTGTTGATAGGAGATCCCAAAATTTTGGTTCAAATGGACAACTAAGTTATGAGGATTCCATGAAGTACTAAGGAAAATAATTTCCTAACTCATTCCTAGGATATTAAAGTGTTTTCTGCAGAGTTGCAGGAGGTTAAGATAATCTTTTAATGATTCATATATCTTAATAAGTCAAGTGGAGTTGGGCAGAATACTCTTAATAGGAGGTCACCTATGTGAGTGTGAAGTGGGGATGCTTCAATGAGAATTATTCAAGGCTTAAATTCTCTAAACACTCGCAGAACCAAGAAGGGTTCAGGGCCAAAATGAACCAAGTCATGAGAACCATGAACGGTTTAGGAAAGACATTGTGTGAGTATCATTGTCTTGGCTTACACTAAATGCTGAATGGTTCAAGACATCACGTTCACCAATTAGTCGAGTAAATCCGATGATATTTCACTAAGGGAGGTTCAAGGCTAGTAACTACCATCCCTAATGCAAAGTATTTTCACTCTCTCTACTAATGTCTGCATAGATATTTACATTAATTTTCATTCATGTGGAAAATTATTAGAATTTTGTTGAAAAATTTGTATTATTTGGTGAATGGAAAATTAAGCCAAATTTAAATCACTTAAATACGTGAATTATTGGAAAAGTGAGTAGAATATTAAGAAATATTCTAAAAATTATTTGGCTAAAAATGTGTCTTTTATATGAAAGATTATGACTTTTGGTATTATCATTTTTCAAGAGGACGTGTCTCTTTAAATATAGAGACTAATTTCAATAGTTGTGTCTCTTCCATAGGTTGTCTTTTGAGACAAACATTTTTAACATCTATGTATTGATCCGATATATTTGGATTTAATCATTCAGGAATTTCAGTTCATTCCATAATTTCATATTATTCATTTCATGTCAAGTTACTTCAAATACTTTGTAGAAATGATTATGTCTTGCATCAAAATCATGTTTATGGTAGTAAGGGAATTTCGTTTGAATTTGCTGGTCAAAGTCATTAGATGTGCTCCTATGACTCGACATGGTCGTTGTATCTTAGAAGATGATTGCTGAAAAATCGTTAGCACCTATGCGGGGCAAATTTATCTTAAGGACCAAGTTGTCAAATACCTGCCTCGACCAAAAATTCATCACTTGTATCTTTCTTCCTTCATTTTCTAATTTCTCTTAATCATGGTTTGATTCAAGAAACTGATTAACATTATTTACATGTTAGTTCTGCGAGGTTTGATTCAAATAATAACTTGCTTTCGTTCAAGAATCGAAAGAGATGAATCCATATTCATGTATTCGAATTCGGTAACTATTGTTGTTTTGTTTCTCAAATTCTATTTCAGTAAGTCGAAATTATGTTTCGATTTCACGCAAATAAACGATATGCTTTTGTGAATATAATATGCACATAATCGGTGTATTCCCCCAACAGAAATATGGCATTTTTGTTATTTTCATCTTCAAATTTGGGGGCTTTGTTGCATGTATTAGAATTTTTTTCATAATTATATTAAAAATCAGTGTAAGAATATTCAAAATATAAAGACTCCATATTTGAAGTTGGCACAAGGCCCCCAAAGTAGCAAGGCTAGCCTTGATAAAAATGTTTAGTTTTGTCACTCAATGATCTCATGAATTTCCTTTCCTCTTTAGATAATGCAATATTTTCGGAATGTTTTTCTCAATCAAAAGCAGAAAATAGAAGAGAAACTAAAGCGATAATATATTGGATAAATAAATAGTCAAAAAGAGATGGAAAAATAAAATTTGTTAGATGCGCCTGGTTGAGAGGAATGTTATAGTGGTGCTCCACGATCAAGAGGGTGGCCGGGTGTGGAAGTAATTGGGAAAAAGCCTTGACTATGCTCACAGTATTGGATGGGAATTGATGTTATTTTCGACAGTCTGTTGGGCAAGCGATGGTCGGAGGTTGTAGAGGGGGGTGCAGATGGTGTGTGGGTTCGGCAACTTAGGTGGCGGGTGGTTGTTGTTATTGATGGAAGGAGGCCGTCTCAAGAAAGAGGAAGAATTTTGGGGGAAATGGAACCATTTTCCGTGTTTTCATAATTTGCGTGTTTTGGCTTGAACATGCTCAAAATGTCATTTTTTATGTTTTGAGTTTTCAATAAAATTTTATTTTATTTTTTCGAAAATGGGAAAGAGAATGCATTTTCACTATTTTGAAAAATCGAAAACAAAAAACGGATTGAAAACAGTAAAGAGAATAGCCCCTAAGAAATAATTTATTGGATAAATAAATAGTCAAAAAGAGATGGAAAAATAAAAATAAAAAAATAAAATTTGTTGCTGCCCAGGATCGAACCGGAGACTTTCAGCGTGCAAAACTAACGCGACAACCACAGCACCATAGCAATGTACATTAGATGACTTTCACTAATATATAATAATTGTATTTCTTTAATTATTTGATTCTCAAAATTTCAACTCTGGCGGCTTTTACAAGCGTAACCCTAACTGGGATTCCCTGGGATTAAGGTAATACATTAAAGGCAATTGTTCCAAGAATTTTGGTAATTAATTAGTTGTTTTGGGTGTAATCAGAAGAAAGTCATTAAAATGGCTCGAATTGCACGGAACTGCATACAATCAATGCTGAAGGTGGTGAATTCCGGAATAGGGATGGTCGGCATTGCCATGATTATATACTCTCTCTGGATGCTTAGGGTTTGGAATCGACACTTAGAATCCGATTCATCCGCCCCTTGGTATGTATGAGTGGGTTTTGTAATTAACTTAAGATTCACGTGATAGTAAGTTTGTTTATTTACTATGGGAATCGGGAAAATCGTAAAAGGAAAAGCATTTACTGTTATTTTGTTTGCTTATTCTGGTCAACTATTTGAAATTGGAATTCAGGTTCATTTACACAATACTTGGAATCGGGGTCATTTTGTGTTTGATTACGTGTTCGGGTCATATTGCCGCAGAGACTACTAATGGCTGCTGCTTGTGGATTGTATCCTCTCTTGATTAATCGATGTCCTGTTGCTGATCGATATCCCCATACATAAGATTTGTAAAGTAAATTGTTAAGATGAGGAAACATATGGTGTTCTGTTGTCAATGGTTCACAGTATTGGAATGTTTTCGTGGTAGTTCTATATGTTCAATATGCATGAGTAAGAAATCTATGAAGTGCAAAATTGACTAATGAAATTTGGCAGATCCTAAGCTCAACTCCATGTCCTTTTTGTTTCAAGAAATTAATAGATATGTCAAACACAAACTCCATGCTCTATTAATGATATATTTAGTGCTGTGAGTTGTTTGTATTGGTAGATGCCTGGATGACCAAACTTTTATTTACAAGACTGCTGCTGATGCTATTAATTTCTAATGTAGTATTAAGTATGTTTGAGAATTGAGAAGGATGTGTTCTAATAGAATATGTTTACAGATGTTTGTGCCTTGCCTTGATAATTTGTTGAATTTATAACCATCATAGTTTGAAATAAGGGATCATTTCGAACGTGCTTGACGAATTCTCAATCATCAGAGGATCTGGATTGGAGGTATTTTTGAACATAATTAGCCACTCTTTTATGTAATGTGAATAAGATTACTCATCCAGAATGTATATTGTTTGAGGCTCAGCCTATTAGTATTTAATGCAACAGAATGCTCTTTTTCATGCTTGAAACAGATATTTAGTATTCCCTCACACACCTCGGGGTGCGATAGTATTTGATGTTTTTTCTTGATTGAAATAGTTTGATTCAATATATATCACTGTAATATTCTGTCTTTTGGTTCGGAACTTGATCTTTTAAACTTTTTGGGAATCATAATTAGTTTATCTCAATAAATTTAGTTTTCTGAGATTTACTAGATATAAGGATATTGTCTTTTACATAGAAAGACTAAAGTTGTTGATTTTTGTCTATCTTTTATCTTCATTTTCATCTGCTAGTAGCCCAACTTCATCTAGAATACTTTGTACTATTGCAGGGTTTCTTGTAGTTTTGATGTTTCCATCTTATATAAAGTAAATCTTCTCCATTTCTTTTCAAAGTTGAGTTTAACCATTTCACAAGTAATCGAACTGTATGTAATGTCATTTTAGCGTTCATGTTAGAGATGTAGCCTTGTAACCTATTATTGCATTAGGCTCTTCACAGTCTTTTCTGCTTGGATGCGAACTGTTTACAAGATGTTCTGCAGATTCCAGGACATAAAATGTTAGGATAAACTATTTTTCCCTGTTGAATTGACTGTCAAATTTAGCTCTTTTCTGAAGCCTTTTAAGAAGACCTTCTTCTAGTTCTATGCAAATAAATACTAATGTGTAGTGATAGATAATCAGCACTATTGACTAGGACAGTCTTTGATTCTACAGTGAAAATATATATCCAAATGAGGATTTGAATTTTCAGATATTTATCATAAGTTATTCGCTGAAGAATTTTGTCTTCCCAACTATTAGTTTAATAAGAGTGCCATCTGAGTCTATATCAACAGTTACTTTTTTCTGTTCAAATTGTTTTGCCATTTTTAAAGTGGTACATTCCGTAGTCCAATTTGTCTACTTTTTCATATTGGTGTGATGAGAGAGCATTGATGTTTATCTCAGAATACAATGTCATTGAAATGATGTATGGATCACTTCTCGGTTTGACCTTAACTAGAGCAGTATATGGTTTTTATCTTTCTGCTTCTTGTGTTGGAAGCTGCAGTGACTGCAGATGTAATTCTTAACCACGACTGGGAGGAGGTGGGTCATGGGAGTGAATGCATCTTTCACATAATACCCTGTGGATATTTTAAATTTTAGGCATTGATTGTATTCTAATTTAACTGGATATCAGGACTTCCCAGATGATCAAACTGGGAATTTTGATCAGTTAAAGGATTTCATCAGACAGAACTTTGACACAATCAAATGGATTGGGATCACAGTGGTTGCATTGGAGGTTCCTCTCTTTCTCTTTCCCACACCAGTACATGAACTCATATAGACGTGTACATTTGCACTACGACTACATTCTCTAATTTTTTATCGCAATATTAGTTTGAAGAACAGTCTGACTGTGTCTCTCACTACTAACTAACTACCACTGTCATCAATCTAGTTATTTAATCGTGTCTGTGTTACATATGACATATGATGACTGAGGTAAGAGGAATACTGAGTTACTCAAGAATCAAGATCGTACACTGATATGTGTGGACCATAGCCAGTTAGGCATTTCCATAATCTGCAGTATACATTGTCCACCGTCATTTTTTATATTTGAGTATTCCTTTTGCTCTCAATTATCTCACATCAATCCATTTATTTTAAAATCTGGATAGTTGAGATTCTGATTCCAATGTGGATCGGTTGGTTGTATTTATGATCAACGGAAGATCCTATTTGTAATGAGCACAATTACTAGCTTGTAATTTCATTTAAATGAAAAATTCTGGAAGAAGGTTTGGAAACTGGTAGAGATATAAGATTGTGGTTCAGCATTGAATCCTTTACCTGAACTGACACTAGTTTACAAGGTCCTATTAGAAAATCAAGATTTGAGGCTTCCCAAATTCAGATTTCAGTTTGCACGATGCATTGAGAAAATTAATGTTTTGCAGTATCAGAATTAATGGATGAATGTGTTTATTTCAAGATTTAAATTTGGATCATGTCCTTGAATATCTTTTATTGTTGCTACATCCTCTGATAGAATTACATAACTGAATATACCTATATATATGAAAATCATCTTCAAGTTCTGTGTTACAAGTTGTATCAAGAATCGATACAGTGTATTAAGAATCTTAACCATATGATTGAGCTATCTGAATCATGATATTGCCAAGACTACCTCCTTACAGATGATGAAAAATGAAGAAATTGGTAACAAGAGAGTTTTTCTTTTATAAATACTTTGTACTAAGAATCTTAGCCATATGATTGAGCTATCCAAATCATGATATTACCAAGACTACCTCCTTAAAAAGGGGCCTCACATCTCACAAATAAATAGATAAGGTAAAAAAACAAAGATGAAAAATGAAGAAGTCGGTAACACGAGAGTTTTCTTGGGTTAAATTGAAGTCTTATGAAAGAAAAATTGTCTTGTTGATCTGAGTTCATAAAGATTTCATTACTGAAAAGAAGAGTTGGTTTTTTTCCAAAAAATTACACAAATACTAGTCCAACTTTGTCAAGATCCCTTCTGAGAATCTAGACAAGTTGGCTAGAAAACAAAAAATGACTCTTGGTTTCCAAATTTAAATTATCCACACCTTGGAAAGGCATTCGATTGCTTTCACGCTGTAGTACCTGCAATTTCAAAGTTACTCTTCGTTCTTGTCTTTTTAAGTTTGTTAATTACAACATTTTGTCTTACATCACTGTTCTTGGTACTTACCCTATTCTCCATATGCAGGCATTAAGTATGTTAATGGCCATAATTCTTAAAGCTTTGGGACCTCATCCTGCGAGATATTATGAAAGTGATGATGATGACCCCCCCGAAAGAGTGCCCCTATTGAGGAATTATGCCCCTCCTCCTCCTCATGTTGCTGGTGATCAGCTCTATGGGACCAAGAATGATTCTTCAATTACAAGGATTAACATTAAGGTAAGTATGCATTTAAGCGCATTATATCTTCTATACAGAGAAGAACGGACATCCTAAGGGCATTTGGCACATTATATGTTGCTTTGATAATATACTGGTCATGGTATACTTTCCAAAGTCCTGACAATTGTTTCCTATCTTCTTTATCAGGCACTTGTACTCTAGCAACATCATTTTACATGGATTTACTGAAGCTAATAAACCCTTAAATCAAAATGTTGTTGAGAAAATTTCCTCAGTACGGCGAACATGCCAATAGTCATGATCTCTTGGTTTGGATATTCATTATCTTTGCATTTGGTATTGTCTTACTTTGGATTAGGCACAGTAGACAGAATAGTTTCGTCCTTTTCACATCACTTGTCCAACTCGTAGTCCATCTATCGCACATCTTCAATCTTGGCCTTTTTTGAACATTTTAAAATTTTAGAACTTCTCACACGGTAGTATATTGTTTATTTTCCAGTATTGATTGATTGGGAAATGAGAAAAAATGCATACAATATTCTGAATATTGTATACAGAAGTCTGTTTGACTTTGGAAGATCATTTCTAAGTTGCAAACGATAATCTTTTCAAATGGAATGACTAATTCTTAATGCAACTGAAGAGCACTAATGCGCATTGCCATCTTTGGGAGTTCTACTCATTTGATGTTTCCTTCGTTAGTCAGGAGAAAATACTAAAGCTACACTTTTTTTTTCCTTTTGGATTTTTAGGCTAGCAGATGATTTAAATTTCCGACCTGACAACGAAGTGCACATGATGAATATCGGGAAGAGGTTGTCAGATCTCAAGTAGCAGTCTAAACAATTTTTCTATTGTTGTTTGTATTAGTGATACTTCTTGTAGTTGACAGAGTTTTTGTAGTTTAACATGTATATATGCTTTACATTCTTGATGAAATATAAACTTGTGTAACAATAAATGACCACACTATTACAAAAGTATAAATTTGTTCGAACTTTTTGATTACCTTTAAATAGCAAAGTTTAAATCTTAGGATGTTTGATTGCAGTCATGAAATTTGCTTGGAAAGAAAATAAGTTCTTAGGCAATTTGCATGAAATGTGTTTGATTTGTTTAATTTTTAACATAAAAAATGTTATACTTGACCATATTTTACTGGTGGATGGGTGAGAGAGAGAGTGAGAGAGAGAGAGAGAGAGTGTGTGTGTGTGTGTGTGTGAATTGTCTGAAAAATAAAAATCAACTACTCCCTAAAGAGTTGAGGATTACATGTACGTCATCTAATTGACTCAAACCTACGATTATCGGAAAGTCATCACAAGACCTTGTTGTGAATGTGCCTTAAAAGCTATTGTATGTAATAGATTTTTTAAATCATGAATAAATGAGTTTATTCATTGTATTTTAAAGATGCTCTATTGGTCTACATATACAACTCAAATCATGCTCCAAGACCCTTTTGCCTTGGAAATCTTGTTAATGAAAGAGAACAGGAGCGAAGCCTTACTATTTAAGAAGTATGATAGGAGCAAAGCATGCTACAAAGTAATGATTTGGTTTTTGTACACTCTTTTTGTTCAGATCTCCATTTTGCAAACGGATTCGATGTGTTTGATTCATATCGTTGGATAGATCTAAAACATTAGCTCGTATCAGAGTCATCACCATTTTGCTAAATTCAAATTTGAGAGAGAGAAAAATAAGCACACATTTATATAAATGAACGATTTTTTTATTACATTTATACGTAGTTAATATATTTTAAGGTCGATTTTTTATGAATAATGCTATTAGCGTCACTGGTGTTACAACATCAGTTTGGATGACGTTAAGTATAAGCTCAATGAAAGATGGAATTAAATTAATATTAGTATCATCTAAATTGATGATACTAAAAAGCACTAAAGCACAAACTCGTTTTTCTAAAGTAATCGCATTAGGCATTAAATGAGTGAGAACTCATTTATATTAGGCTAATAATGCAAGGGCATGACCATTTATATTTGGCTAATAATTGAGTATCATCAATTTAATGCACGAACTCATCTAAATCGTATTAGGCAACAAACAAACTTGTTAATGCACGAACTCATTCATATTAGGCTAATAATGTTGAAAAATTATAGAGTGAGAACTTAGTTTATTAAACATAAAGCACCATTTTTCTAAAAATAAGTCGGCTGAAATATTGAATACTGTAGGAAGTCAAGCATATACCTCAATACATGTCGGTGAATATAGCTAAGTAGAAAAAGGCAATTTTTTGGTAGAAGTACCAAACTTGGGACTTGGGGAAAAAAGTTGTCGTATAAATTAAGTGGACGAGTATTGTTTTGCAAAAATATTATGCAGTATAATTCTGTAAGCGAATGAATGAATGTATTTGTATACGTACATACAAGAGCATGACCAGTAATCGTATTTTCTTTCACAAAAAGTTATACTGTCATCATTTCTCGACTATATACGTCCGTTAACAAGTTTGTTGTTTGACAAAATGTTGTCCAACAAGTTATGTGGATTAGTATTTCTTGACCAAATATAAAAAATAAAAAATAAATAAAATATATATATGTGTGTGGGGGAGGGGGGGTGTGGGTGTGTTTCAATTAAGTGGATGAGTGTATATATGTTCATATGTACATTCAAGTGCTTGACCAGCGACGCTTACAGTTTTTATTACAAGAAGTTACACATTGTCATCATACAACTAGCTCGCAAGTATTTACACACGGTTGGCATGTGTTTTGCTAGGCAAAAAGCAATTTATTATCATTCTAAGACTTGTCGAAGTGCATGCACGTGCAGTAGCAATGCACCTTTGTCATTTGACAAAAAATATATGCGTCATCATTTTACGACTAAGTGGACAAGTATATTGATGTGATAATGTGTGTTTGTTGTTTGATAAAAACTTGTGCATTCCTTCTATGACAAGAAGATGTGTATATAATGCATTTGTTGTTAAACGAACAAAAAGTTGTGCATTGTCATTTTATGATTAAGCAATGAATATTCATGCGTGCATAACTTATATTACATGTACGTTGTTCTAATCATTATAAACATCGATATTAATCAATATATGGCTATGGTTATTTAGGGCGCCTTTTGGTGTGATTTTTTGGTATTATTATAGCTTGTTAGATTTTTAGGCTATTGAATTTAGTTTATTTAACTCTTGTTTGAGCCTCATAGTTTTCATAAGAATATATCTTTGAACAATATATTGATGAAAAATATGTGATTAAAAAATAAGGAAAAATTTTGAATTCGCGTATGATATTATTTTATTAAAGAATATGTGGTTGAAATAATATCAAATCACTGTTTAAAAATGTATTTTTTTTTTTCAAATGATGCGGATTAAATAGGGCCTTAGTCTACATAATAAAGATTTCAACCTATAGTATTGTATAAAGATTGTTTGACATAGATTTTCATTCTTATCAAATAATAGATCTTATAGTATGATACAACTATATATTTTATAACTTAACTTTACATATATAATATTGTTATGATAATCAACAAGCGTAGTAACAAATACCAAAATTTCGCCTTAATTAGCATCAAGCTCTAGACCGCAGTGGTTGTAAACAAATTCTATCTATCAAAGAAATTGAAAAACTTTAAAAGAACGATGGATTTAGGGCGTAACACGTTATATTCTATAAAAATTATTAACTAACTCAACTTAGTTCAATTATTGTGTATGTTTATAACCCCTGTTTTATTTTTGAGTTTAATGGTTCTATCATTTTCTAACTACTTATTGTTGGTACAAATAATGAATAATGATATTTGTAATCAAGGTTCGTGGTCCCCTCATTGCCACATAGATGGTTGTCTATTAGTCGTGCTTATAAATGATAATACTCACAATAACTGCTTGAGTAATGTTATTCATAATGAAAACTACTAGTAATCGTCTTAAGTAACATACATGTGTTGATTTGTTATTTGATGCATGAGACGACCATTGTTAGCCTTCACTATGAATAGCATTATTCTAACATATTATAAAAACTTAAGTAGTAAACACGTCACATAAAACACATATAAGATTTTAAGTTCTCGTTCTTATTTGATGATATCAAAAATTGTCCAAACCAACATACAAAACACGTTGAAAAAGAACAATAATTAAGTGCGTTAAGTAGAAAAGAAATTGAATATAACACACTCAAGATCTTAAGATCTTATTTTTCCTTAATCATGTTTAACGTTGTCCAAACTAAAATACCTAGTAAAGCACAAGAAGAAACGCATTGCACAAAAAAAAAGTACAACAGAAAATTGCAAAAACAAAGAATCCCACTTTCAAAAAGAATTTAAGTAAACCATTGAATAACTCCAATTAAAAAGCCCCTAAGGCTTCCCTCTTTTTTCATCTCATTCCATAAAAGGTACATACAATTCTCAACTACGAAGTTGTAGAACTCATAACAAAAAATGGAATCTGGTCCACTGTCAAATGTCTTTTATGCTACCAGAGTCATATGCAACTACAATATTATCACTTTAAGGCCACTCAGTTTCTCATTCTCTCTAGCAAACATCAAACCAGAGTAGTGACAAAAAAGGATTCGGGAATTCAATTCACCTTCTTCAATGTCCACACAAGAGGAAGCGTTGTTTATCGACTTAGCCACACCTCTGGGCAAAGTATTTGAAGTCATGGTGATCAACACTAAGTTGCTTTAGCCACGAGTCTGCAATGTTAAACTGCGATACCAGTTTCTCTAGGTCCTTACCCCTCTTGTCAGAAACCCACACATCACCGTACATCTTATAAGTGGCTAAACCAAATGGAGGGAGAGAGATTTCATCTCCTTCCTCTCTTTTCTTCCTTTCAGTACTTACAGAGTCGTCTTCAAGTTCCATATCTGTTAATCACAACGGATACCAGAGTGAGACAGCATTTTTACGCACAATAATAAGGCTCATTTTATTGAACCAAATAAATGAATACCTTGAAAAGTAGACGAAAGGGTGTGAAATGTGAGAAAGCAAGTCGACAAGTCTTTTTCGCTTCTTCCCATGGGAATGTGATATATTGGGTACCTGAATGTGATTCATCGTTTAGACTGCTTAAACGTGCAATTCATCAAAAGAATTACAAGAAACTTGGAAAAGAAAAATGCTTGTGTGCACGCTCTTGCTTGTTTGAGATAGAGAGACGAACCAAGCAACTGCCATCCAACTAGCAGGGGAAAGATCTACACTTCTTAACGACATCAATGCCGGGTATCTTTGTCCTAAGCCCCTTATCTAGAAAGCAAACAACTAAGGGTGTCAAATTATATTTTTCCTCTCAAAACGTCAAATTAACTGAGTAGATACAAAAACATGTTAAGATAGCATCACAATTCCAATGCACAGAACAGGAATAAGAAAGTAGAAAAGGAAGAACATATTCTTGTGAAGATAAGAAATTATATCCCACTGAAGAAGAGTAACTTGTAGTTAAGTCAATGGACGGAGTAGAATAAACAGCCTATAATAGACTTATAGACAAGTCACTATATTCTAAAAATGAGCAATGGCGAAAAAAACAAAAGAGAGAAATAAAGAAAAATTCTGATTCATTGTCAAAAGTAGTACATCTTAAATAGATGCCCGTCAACTAAAGGAATTTAAACGATTCCATTATCTGTTATCTTCATTATCAACAATCATTGTCGTGAGTAGTCCACCGAAAGTGAATATCTAGAACCTAAAACTACAAGCATTAGAACCATGCACAGGAACATGAACCAGGAAGAGGATTACCTTAGCCATCAGAGGAACTCTTCCACAAGGAGAAGATTTTTCGATGTACTCAAAGTTCCGATAACCCAATCGATCATTGGGATGCCAGAAGTTATCCTGCTCGAGTACTACTTCCTCGGAGGAACATCTGTCCCATGTCAGCAGCTTTTCGCTCACGCTTTCATTCTCTTCGCTGAATGAATCACTAAAGCAATCCCTAGTCTCACATGACGACTCAGCCTCTTCCCTATTATTCATATGATCACAATCCAACTAAATCATCTTGCTTTCAGGATAAAATAATAAATAGAGAACTTAAAGAAATACCATGTCATATCTCATTGATTATCATGCAATTTACATCCTCCAGTGAAATAATATAAATGCTTCGACTTTCTTGTCTTTTGAGCATATAAAAATTCAATAAATAACTCATTGTGGTAGTAAAATATTATAAGTTCATTTGACCGCTCTACTACTGAGCTATCGAGGAACAACGGGGGATTGGATCTAAAAGAGTTCAATACCCTTTCTCCACCCATGGTCAACATGAGCTTGATGCTTCCTCCTTGATTCAAAGAACTCATTTTGAAAGGGACCTCAAAGCTACTCTATTTCATCATATCCATCCATTTACTTGCTAAAAGAGTTAAATTTTAACATCATCAACAGAGCCCGGCTCACAAAAACAAGAATTTTCGGTGAAAACAATTCTCACAGCAACTTCTTATAACAGTTAACAGCTGATCAAATTTGTGAATGGCATTCATTACCTTGAATAGTTTATAGAAGAATTGCTGGTGAAGATTTGAATAGCAGATAGATAAGGCACATAGTACTGAACTAAGTTTTGGCCATTCGCAAGACGGATTGGTACGCCAGCGCCATATACACTCCATTCATCATAGCTATTCCAAAGATCATTCAATGAAAAATACTCTACTGTTTCTCTTTCAAAAGGATTCCACAGCCTATTAAGCTTCCTCGTCTCAGTCTGCACAATAACAAAAAATGATCATATTAAAATAACTTCAACAATCATAAACATGATCGTAGATATTATTAAGAAGAAAATTGTAAATACACAAACCTTGGATAGGAATTGAGAAGGGATTGAAGGAGTTGTGTAATCCAAAAGATTGTCAAGATTTGATTGCATTGAATTCTTGTGAAAAAACATCCTGGCTCTTCAATGGGGAGAGAGAGAGAGAGAGAGAGAGTTTTCACCGATTCTTTTTCTTGAGGAAAAGAGAAGAGGAAAGGAAAAACAGGGAGAGAAAATAATTGGAGAAGGAGAAACGAAAGAAATTAATGGGAGAAGAGAAGGAATGGCGAGAATACAACTAGACGTTTAGACAAACTATTAAGAATAAAAAACTGAAGTCTTTCAATGTTTTTTTCCCTCTTTTAAGAAACTATGTTGAAATTTATGAAATTCAATCAAAACCCAGAAATCATTTTTCTGATGGGAAACAGAAAAAAAAAATTCAAGAATTTCAATTCCAAGAGAGAGACTATCTTTGGATTCAATGCAAAACAAAAACGACCCACAAAGCAAAAACTGTTTCAGCATCAAAAAATATTATCTACATTCATCTGATCTTGAATTTTTCATTTTCCTGGAGCATTACATGCTATCTTCTTTCAGAACAACTCAAGATAAATTCTTGCGATATTCTCGCAAATTCTCTCTCCCCTTCTGAGAGAAAGGTGAAGAAAATAGAGAGAAAAAGTTGGACTAAAATGGAGATAAAAGATTGTTCTTTGTACACGCGTAGAAACCAAAGGCAGATGTTTTTATTAGCCAATAAAATGAAATGTTGAATCTTTATTTATTCTCAAAAAGAAAATTCATGGCGTCTGATAAAAGGGAATCAACTTCTCTCCATAAAGCAAAACCATTAGGAGAAATAGTACAATAGCGATACAACAGCAACATTCGTGTGTAGGATAAATGTATTCACACCAGTATTTTGGTCATAATCTGGGATTCGAGATGTTTAAGGTGCTCGAGTGGGGGTAAGGTTGCGTGGGAGAGGGAATACAATTTAGAGGTAGCTAATGTTTAAGAATATTTGTTTTTAATTATACATTTTTTTAATAAAATAAATTTGCAAGTATAGCCTGTTTGAGGTCCCATTGTTTTGATGAAAATATATTTTGAAATAATATTTTAATGGAGAACATGTGACTAAAAAAACTAATGAAATTTTTTGAATTTATGTGTAATATTATTTTATTAAAAAAATTGTGGTTAAAAATAAAAGAGAAAAAAATGTGTTTTGAAAATAATTGAAATCAAACAATGGCTAAATTTTTCCCTTTTTTTAATAATATATTTTTTAAAAAATTATTTTTCACAAAATTTATTTTCGAAACTTTATGCCAAACGAGGGTTATATATGTCTGTTTCAACTTTCATCTTCAGTGGGATGTGTGTATTTATTTTGTCTTCTTTATTTGACTTTTTGTTATGAAAAGAGTAAAAAAAGAAGAAAGTATAGAGAAGTTAATAAACTTATTTGTATTTTATTAAGAACCAATACTCTATATATAGGGAAGAAACGGGAATACAACGGTAATAATTTTCAGGAAGTAGAATTATTATTCACTAATAAACTTACCATTTACAATACACCCTCTTGAATGATACATTACAAAATATTTGTCTCGTTAAAATCGATAAAAATTCAATGAGACAAAAAAATAAATGAAGGAAAAAGAATACAATTGTTTTTGAATTATTAAATAATAAATTCTGTATCATTAAAATCTAGCTAAGAAAATTCAGTGGGATAAAATCTAGGCGAAAAAAAAAGTACAGCTACTCTCTTGATATGGATCACTGAAAATCTTTAAATCGACGAATTCCAATCTCATGAAAAATTACTTGAATGTAGATGTCAGCGATGCTTCTGTAAATAAATCAGGTACATTGTCATTTGAGCGAATTTTTTAGACATCGATATTATCATTCTTTTGAAACTCGTTTATATGAAAGAATGTTAGAGAAATATACTTCATCATGTTACCTTTGATATAGACTCCTTTAAGTTATGCAATACAAGCTACATTATTTTCAAACAAAATTTTTAGTGTTGAAATTAACCCACCTGATGTTTGAATATGACGGGTCATATTTCTCAACTATACACAATTTCAGCATGCTTTATGGACTGCAATAATTTCATAATAATTTGAGGATGTTACTGTCAAAGATTGATTCGCATATCTCCATTATATAGTTGTTTCTTCATGTGTAAAGACATATCCTCATTGTGATTTAGCTTTATATGGGTCAGAGTGATAATCTGCATCTATATATTCCACTAAAATGGATCCCAACTTTTAAGAATGTAAAAACCCCAAATCAACAGTACCATTTAGGTAATAAAAAATATGTTTAATACTATTCCAATATTTTTGGATTGGTGTATAACTATATTTTGCAAGAAATTTACAGAAAAAGTTTATATCGAAATGATTGCAGTTTGCAAGATAAGTTAATGCTCCAATTACACTAATATATGGTTTTCAAGACCAAGAACATTTTCTCCATCTTTAAGTGGACGAAATTGATCATTTTTCACATCAAGTGATCAAACAACCACAAGTGATACCAATGGGTGTACATTATTCATATAAAAAGGTTTTAAAACTTTTTCTGTATATGTAGATTAATGAACAAATAATCCTTTTGAAAAGTTTTCAATATACAATCAAAGACAAATTTTGATTTTTCCCAAGTTTTTCATCTCAAATTTATTTTCCAAATAATCTGGAGTTTTGTTTAGTTTTTCAAGAGTTCTAATTTAAATTTAAATCATCAACATAAATTATTACAATTGCAAACCAATATTTATTTTCATTATGAAAACATATCGCAGACATCTTCATTTTTATAGCCTTCCGTCAACAAATATTTGTTAAGGCAATTATACTACATAAGTCCATTTTATTTGGTCAATCACTACTTCAATCGATATATTTCATCACGTTTATTTTGATTTCTCGCTATATGATGTAGTACATCATTTATAAAAACTTCTTGTCGAGAATTTTTTTTCTTTTCGAATCTAATTTTTCCCTTAATGACATAACTTATTAAAATATCTCAAGTTTAATTATTTTAGGTATCTTAAAATTTTCTGCGATTTATAATTTATTATGTCTAAATACTTATCAAGAATATGTCTCCTTAATGATCGTCTTTGCTAATTAGTCCATTTTCGTTTAAAGATTTTTTATATTAAAATCGAATACCATCACTCTTGAGATGTGTTAAAGAAATATCAAATATAATGTTAACAAATTATCATCATATGACATTAATTCATGTTGGGACATTTAAAATTGGTGCATGAGATATTGTTTATCTCTTTGATTAGTAAATACATCTTAATAAATTATCTTTCGAACTTCTGATTCAAATGATATTTTGCGATGATTTAGATGATGATGTATTTATACATTATTTTTAATTTTTTAATTCATCTCCCTAATGCTGATAAAATTGTCCAATCAAATTGACAATCATTTTTCAGCTATAAAATATCGCTCATTAGGGATAAATATTCAAATTGCGATTTTATTCTCAACATTCTTTATTTTCCATCTCAGTCATTGTGGTGGTTCAATGTTACATATACTACACCATCAAAATAATTAGATGAAAAAATTAGGTTCTGACCATAAGCCAATTATAGTCGAGAAAACTATGATGTTGATATGATGCGTAATAGAATTCCCTAAACAAAAATAGGATGTATTTTGTTCTCAATTAAATTAATTGGAGGCATTTAACAAACAATATTGTTAAACTATTTATCGATATCTTAACTAATACTTATTAAAATATTGAGATTTATTTCCACTTACATTAACAAGACACGGTCTTGATTATGTAATCTGAAAATTATATTCATAATTTAAAATTGGGAAAATTGCAGCTGAGGTACCAAACCTTTCATTTATTAGCAGACTTTGTCCAAACCTTTCATTTGTGCCATCGAAGATACCAAACCTTTAAAAAATGAGTGGGGCCAGTCCAAAATGACGGTTTCCGTCTATTTGACCGTCAAAACCGTCAGTTGACCCCTCTAATGATATTTTCAAGAACTTTCCCCAAATAAGTGAAGGGCAATCTGGGCATTACACACATTTCCGTCCTCAACGTCAAACACGTCAGTTGCAACTTCATTCCACTCACCATCCACTATGGACCCTGGGAAAACCTATGAAGAAGATGAAACGTACGTCAAAGAAGACGAACATCCAGTGGACATTGCAGCCCACATTCGAGGCTCTCTTCCCCAACCCGTGTATGGTAAGTGTGTTCCTCTTTTTTCGATTTACGGTGTGAAGTTGTATGATTATGAAGTTCCCCTATTCGATTGTTTTCACATACTGGGAAATTCAAAAATTTTAAGTGATTTCATGAATTAGAGCGTAACGCTTGTGTACTATCTTTTCTGCACATGTTCGTTGCTCGAACTAAAAAGGGCTAGGGCTTAACTTTATTTTTTTTGGTATTTTTTCAAGGGAAAATTCAAAGTACTTCAGCATACGGCTTCATCATGGTGGAATTTTATTTCAGAATATGAGAAATTTTGTGTATGAGCATGGAAAAATAAGTTATATAGACTATATCGACCCTGATTTCTTTAATAGATTTCTTTTGGACAATGCCGCGAAGATGTTAGGATATTCTGATAGAATTAGATATCTGTACAAGATGGAGAAGAAAAGAGTGAGTGAAGCATCATTTTGGTTGGTTAAAGACTCAGATTTCATGAACTTAGTAATGTGGCTTGGTGATAATAGGACAGCTGAACTGTATTGCTTGCCTGTAGTTGAGGTTTTGGAGTTGCCTTGGGATGAAACAGAACAAAAGGATGTTCAAGTGTTTGATTGTGAGACTAGTGAGGAGTTGGTGAAGGTTCAAAAGTCTGGTGAAGCATTGAATAAGCAGCAACTATGCTATGCTGTTGATATTTATGATGAATCAGTAGAAGGTGATGACTTGTATGTAGTTGATGAAGTGGATGACATGGAAGCAGATGAAGAGGAAGTTATCCTTATAGGAGCTGACGTTGAAGAGGTTACAGTGTATGGAACAAAACATGAGTATACAGAGGTTGATTTTATAGGGGCTGAAGTAGACTCACATGAACCAGAGGTGCATGCTGCTGAACTAGAGAAACCACATGATGTTGAACCACAGTTGAGGTCTGAACATGAGTTGCATGACGCTGAACACGAGTTGCATGATGCCGAACCAGAGGTGCAGGCTTCTGAACCACAGCGACGGGCTCAATAGGAGCTGCATGCTACTGAACAAGAGGCGCATGCTGCTGAACATGATGCCGAACCAGAGGTACGAGCTGCTAAAATTGATGTGCATGCTTCTAAACCACAGCAGCAGGCTCAGCATGAGGCGCAGGCTGTTGAACAGGAGTTGCATGATGCCAAACCAGAGGTGCAGGCTACTGAAACTAGTATGGGGCATGATGTGGAACATGATGATCCTGAGCAGGATAATGAATATGATGAGGGTATTTTGGGAGAGGAATTCAATGACTCGGAGTACGAGCAGGAAGAAAATATTGTTGTGGATGATAATAATGAAAACACATATTTCAGGTTGAGTGAAGGTTTTGAAATTGTTGTAAGGGGTGAGCAGGAAGGTGTAAGGGATGAGCAGGAAGGTAAGGTGGCTGCTGGGGAAGAATCTGGAACAAACTACAAAGACTCCAATGAGCTTAGAAACTTACCCAGTGATACGGAGGCTGAGGGATCATCTACCAAAAGGAAAAATGTGTGCTAGTTTAACTCTGCAACTGATATGGATGATCCACAGTTCAAGCTAGGTAATGCATTTGTTTTGTTTAACAAGTATATTGTTCTCTTGATTGAAGAAATTTTTGATAGTATGTTATGTTCATTTCTGCCAGGGATGAAATTCGACAACGTTAAAATTCTAAGGAATGCAGTAGTTCAATACTCAGTCAAAAATTTCAGGCAACTGAGATACGTGAAAAATATGAGGACACAGTTGAGAGTTCGATGTCAAGATAATTGCCCTTGGGTTCTGTATGCGTACCAACAACCCGACAAGAGTTTTAGAATTAGCACACTGGTAGATGAACACGCATGTACCATGGTGTGGCAAAATAAAAGGGTTAATTCAGGATTTTTGGCAAAGTACGTAAGGAAATTTAGGTCTGATTCCAACATTCCAATGAGTACTTTTATGGAGACTGTGAAAGAGGACTGCGTGTATGAGATTTCAAAGCATCAGTTCTACAGGACAAGATCGAAATGTGTAGAAGTTATTAATGGGATTGTAGCTGAGCAGTATAAAATTTTATGGGATTACGATGAGGAATTGAAGAGAACGAATCCAGGCTGCACAGTGCAAATCGAAGGTTCGGGTCATACTTTTAAGAGATTGTACATCTGCTTAGGGGCTTGTAAGGAAGGGTTTACGGCTAGGTGCAGGCCAGTTGTTAGGTTGGATGGATGCTTCGTAAAAACTACAGAAGGTGGGCAGTTGTTGGCAGCTGTTGGCATCGATCGTGAGAACTGTATATTCCCGTTAGCATTGGCAGTTGTGGATGTGGAGAACAAAACAAACTGGCAATGGTTCATAGAATTGTTGGTTCATGACATAGGGATGCACAACCCTCGAGTTTGGACATTCATTTCCGACAAACAAAAAGATTTGGTGGATTCAATAAGTCAATACTGTGAAGGAGTGGAGCATAGGTGTTGTGCTAGAGATCTTTATAGCAATTTCACCTTGGCACACAAAGGTTTGGCCCTTAAGAATCTCTTTTGGACTGCAGCAAGGGCAACAATAGTGCCAGAGTGGAAAAGTGCAATGAATGAGTTAAAAGACATAAGTGAAGAGGCTTACAACTGGTTACTTGAAAAACCTCCTTCCCAGTGGACTGATCCCATTTCGAAGAGCATTCGAGATGTGATATTCTTCTTAATAATTTGTGTGAGGCATTCAATTCTTCCATTGTTGTTGCCAGAAACAGGCCCATCATCTCGATGCTAGAGAAAATTCGGCATCAGCAAATGATAAGAATGAATGTAAAAAGGGAAGCAGCACAGAGGTGGGATCATGCATTCCGAACAAGAATTGTGAAAATCATTGAGAAGGCTAAGTCTGAGGCAAGGTACTTGAAGGCAGACTATGCAGGCAACCATAAATTTGAGATAACCAGTAGAGAAGGTTTGAGGTGGAGCGTTGACTTGACAAAACATGCATGTGCAGGCAGAAAATGGCAGCTCACTGGAATACCATGTCCCCATGCAATATCAGGCATGCTTTCAAGGGATATTGGCATATATAAGTGCATCGACCCATGATATAGAAAGGAAACATACCTCAAGTGTTACTCCCCAGTTATCTACTCGATGTCAGGGCCTGAACTATGGCCAGAATTGGGAAAGTATTCTCTTAATCAACCTCAGAAGAGAAAACAGGCTGGCAAACCCAAAAAAAATGAGGAAGAGGTCACAGGCAGAGTCACCTGCAGGAGTTAAGATGGGAAGGACTGGCATGAAGATGACGTGTAAATGCTGTGGAGGGTCTGGACATAACAAAAGAAGCTGTAAGGGATCACTGCCTAGTGAAGACAGTTCACAACAACAGTCTCAACTAACTACACAAACAGAGTCACAAGAAGATACACATACCAGATCAGCAAAGGGGAAAAGAAAAGCACATTCAATGAAAACCTCCAAGTCACAAACAAAGAAGTCCAACAATAGAGGATCGAAATCTTGAACATCATGTGGTTTCTCTTGTATAGTTACTTTTTTGGGAAACTGCTGTGGTTTTTTGTAAACTGAATTGGAAATATGTACTTCCAATGCTGTTATTTTGTAGATGTACCTGAAATTTATGATGAAATTGTTGAATGTGATGATAATGTTGACGTCGAATTTCTTGCATTATGTTTTTGCTGGTTGTCGTTAGTTTCTGAAATTGTATTCGTAAGATCTGATGTGCAGGCGATTAAGAAATATATGAAAATGTTTGATACTTCCTCTGAAAGTATTATCAAACGTTTGGTACCTTTACTGAAATGTTTTTAAAGGTTTGGTACTCTATCTGAAACCATTAGAAAAGGTTTGGTACTGATTCTGAGAATCGTTATAAGGTTTGGTACCTATACTGCACCTTCTGTAGATAAGTTTGGAGTGTAATCAACTCTTTTAATTTCGCATTTTACTTAGAGGCCGGGAAAAGATCGTTATCACCTATTAAGGTAGCATTAAGTACAGGAAAAAGGGGGCACTTCATTTCAAGTAAAAAGGTACAACATAAATTTTCTTTTTACATATGCATTTCACAACATCTAGCACATGGCTCCATGTCGAAACCCTAAACTCAAATTTCTGGAACTAAATACTAAAATCCTACAATCCGACCCTACATACCTAAGAACAAACCCATTTTGCAAACACTCCACACACAAAGCCGAAGAGCCAGATCTTCCACACATTTGGTCTTGTTGCTTGAAGGGTGTTAATTTCAACTTCCATTTCCCTGCTAGCTCGTAATAGACTAGGAATCAGTTCCTTCGATCTCTCACACATTGGAGGGTCACACCACATAAAGAATGTGCATCCACCCACATCTTGGCTTTGAGGACAAGTGAGAAATCTTCTTCCCGAGTTCAGGTTCGTCCACGAGGTCTTCATCTGCACCTGGAACCACATCTGCATACATTCAACACCATGTGCGTGCTGATTTTTAATTACTACCTGTGAAAGAGAAGTAAGAGGTAATATAGTGTTAAAGAAATGGAGAGAAGTAAACAGTGAAGTATATAATAGGAGGGAAATGTGAGTAATGCCCAGATTGCCCTTCACTTATTTGAGGAAAATTCTTGAAAATATCATTAGAGGGGTCAGCTGATGGTTTTGGCGGTCAAACAGATGGAAACCGTCATTTTGGACTGGCCCCACTCATTTTTTAAAGGTTTGGTATCTCCGGTGGTACAAACTAAAGGTTTGGGCAAAGTCAGCTAATGAACGAAAGGTTTGGTACCTCGGCTGCAATTTTCCCTTTAAAATTTAAGACATAACTTTGCAAACTTCAAATTGTGAACATCATCCAATCATTTAGTATATGTATCAAATATATGAGAAACAAATAATATTTAGATAATCAATGTGGAGGATGATGGGGCCGCCTTATTTATCACTCTAATCAATTTTTTCAGAAATATAGGAAATTCAGTCCCTGTATTTAGCTAGTGATGGTTAATAAAAAAATCTTCATGAAAGAGAACAAATATCACATAAGATTGAATTGAAGAATCTTCTGATTCTTCATTGAATATTCATTTGAATTTTTAATTTTGCACCAATATTAATTAAATGATGATCCAGCTGGTCATGTCAAACAATAAAGTCAAGTTGAAATCTTGTTCAATATAAGTATAATTTGATGATTTAATTTCTAAGAATACGATTAATGCATATATAATCATATATCATTCAAATAATCAAACTGATCAATATCATTATGACATTAGTTATATGTTTATCTTCAGGGATAAATATAAATTCAAAAGGATATATTCTTTGAAAGTGTGCTACTTCGAGAGAACGTTATCTTTAATTATTGATTCTTCAAGAGCAATATGTCAATATTCTTCTGTAATATTGAAAATTATAATTCATGCATTTCAACAGCGACAAATTAATTATAATTCATGTCACCAAATTAATTTTGGTGCACGCGATAAATATTTATGCTTATAAAATAATACTACATTCACTAAACTTTAAAAAATTAAACTATCATGCTGATAACGTGTTATAAAAAGGGAAAAAATATAAAGAAGTCAATAAATTTGTATTTATTTTATTCAAAACTAAAATCCTATATTTATAGGGAAGAATCAGTGATACAACTGTAATAACTTCTAATGCTAAGATACGTTTGTCATTCACTAATAAATTTACTATTTACAATAATTTTGTTATTTCAATATAGATAAAATTGTTGGGTTGTGTGCCCATATAGTATAGTTTTGCTGATGTAAAAAAAATAATATTTTTATTGAATAAAATTATGTTTAATTTATTTTTTGCATTTATTTATTATTGAGTATGCGAAATTAAAGTGCCTATAATCACTTGTGATAATATGAGTTGAGTACTTGCGTTGAGAAGTACAGTATGACACAATTTATATTTTGATCATAAATAATTTGTTCACAATCTACGTATAAGGGTTGGCACCTTATATTGAAAGGTTGTAGTGTTGACCAATTCACTATTCGGGTTTGTGATTTGTCCTTATCACAGAAATAGTAAAAGGTGACACTAGTACACTTGGAGTGTATTGAACGGACCACGTGTTGAATTTAATTCTATAGCATGACCGTGCGGAGAATTAAATTTCACTAGACCGTTGTGTATTTCATCTAAATCCCTTGACAGGATTATGTATATCTTTTCGTAATTTTAATTGTTCTTTAATTCATCAATGGGTGAGATCAATTTGATTGGTCAAATATCTCGATGAGTTGGGAACTTGAGAATGAGCGGAGTAGAGAACATGAATTCGTGTCGGGAACCGTCGCCCAGATGGGTAGAGTGACTACTTAAGTATTTTCTATTGAACGGTTAAAATCAGAGCTCAGTGTTTAGCAACGGCTAAACTTCGACATCTGTGATTAGTTCACAGGACCGTTGAAGAAAATGAAACTTAAGTTAGTGAGAATAATTAGAGGGGCAAAACGGTCATTTATGCTCGTACCTAATTATCGGATCTCGAACGGGGATAAAATACATATACAGCAGGTTAGAGGAAAGTATTACAGATTTAATGGCTTCTGTGATCTTATATATTCCAAGAATTCAGTCTTTTGCCTTTAGTGGAAAAAACAAAGATTAATAATTAGATTGAGTGGTCTAGGGTCGACTAGACATGATCTAATTATTGGAGCTTGGATAATATATGTCCGATCAAGTCCCTGTGGTAGCTCCATAAAGTATTGGAACTTAATTACGGTAATTATAATAGTTTTGAGCTTAATTATAATTACAATAAAGTTTTGTACTTAATTGTAATTACTATGAAAGTTATAAACTTAATTGTAATTGTAATTGAAGTTCTAGGACTACACATATAATTAATGTAAACTAATTGGAATTGGACTTAAATTAGAACTCTTCTTGAGTTTTAATTAGGAATCCTATTTGAATGTGGAATTGTGATTGTATCATCTTTTTCTCTATAAATACAGACTAAATGAATGAAAAAAGACTACAACAATCATAATTCCATAGAATTCAAATTTAGAGAAAGAAATATATTATTTCTTGATTTCCAATTTCAAGAATTAGTTTCTTGATTAATTAAAAGAAGGTACCCACACGCTGGTGTAGTTTTTCCGTTGGAGAATACCATAGAAGGCTTGAAGGTTTGAAGCACCAAGATTCTTGCAATTGAAAGAGACGGAAGTTCGTGGTTCAGAATCAATTCAAAGGTGGATCATCGAATTTGAGTAAAATATTCAAATCCTTTAATTCTTGTTATAACATACACGTGAACATCTAAACGATCTTGTTTTTAAATTAAAGAAATTTTAATTTCTGATTAATTCTACTTCCGCATTACAACAAAAATAGGTCAATGTCTTGTATTGAAAGTGATGAAAAAGATTTCCTTTTCGTTTGTGTGATAAGTATGTAATTAAGATATAAATATTTCTTTATTTTTGTCGCATTTTGTGTCATTTATTTAATTAGTTCAAGAAATTTTATATGTACAAACTAGTATTTCATTCAAAATTCGTTTTCTATTTACACATATCGCTTGACAATAGTAAGTATCTTCTAGCTTACTTCTTAGTTCTTACACCCAACCCTATCGCTATCTTTTACTTAGAGATGTCAATGAGTCGAGTTGAGTAGGCTCGGGCACGACTCAAGTAAAAAAAGTTCGAGCTTAGCTAAAAAAATTAGGCTGGGCCTTATCGATCCAAGCCGAGCAGGCTCGTGTTTTTTTTTTTCAATAAAACAAAAGCA